GATTGTTCACTTTTTTATATGGCATTAAGAAAAAAAAAATTATTGCTGGGATTATGGAGAACAGCCAATAACCATAAAGAGCAGGCTGTGATGCTAAAATTTTTGTCAAACAATTTTGATGAGCCAAAATGGAAGACTGCAGCTTTGAAGAATGCATATGTATTATTGGGAAAACAAAGATATGGTGCGTGTCATTTTGAAAAATTGGTCATTTATTAATTATGAATGACAAAATTAAGTTGAATTTTATAGAATACGCAGCTGCATTCTTTCTTCTTGGTGATAAATTAAAGGATGCAGCAAATGTGTGTTTAAAATATTTAGATGATTTTCAATTAGCTATTGCTATTTGCAGAGTTTATGAAGGTAAATGATATCTATTATCCACACAAATACGAAATAATTTATTACTTAACGATACTTATATATTTCAAAGGTGATGAAGGATCCACCTTGAAAAGTATACTTGAAAATCATGTTATTCCTTTAGCTGTGAAGACAGGAGATCGTTGGTTAGCTAGCATGGCGTTCTGGATATTGAACCAAAGAGATCGGGCTGTTAAAGCTATTATGGTTTGTCATTTATTTTTTTTTCAATTGAAGTATGCAAGCCGTTTTATCTATGTACGGACACGCATTTCAAATCCGAATAGGTACCTTTAGAAACCTTGTGCGACACCTCTATGAAACAACAAACCTCTTCGTCAACAAACTCCATGATATCTACAGAATCGCCGGACGCCGCACTAATAGTTCTTTATAAACAACTTAAAGAAAAATCTGTTCAAACACTTCGCGGTGCATCTGAAATTTCTTCAGAAACCGAATATTGTTTTGTATTACGCAGCATTTTTGCATATGATAGAATGGGATGTCCTCTGCTGGCTTTACATCTTGCTAAAACGTGGTTATTTGCACCAGAATCAATGTCAAAAAATCCTCACCACATATTAAGATCTCGACGCAGAACAACAATACTTGATATTCCGTTACTAGACAATGACATTAGAATATCAAGTGGTGTTGTAAATTTTAATAATTGGAGTTGGGAAACTGACGCAGACGTGGCTTCCTCTCCAGTCTCACCTAGATCAAGTAGTAAATTTTTGTTTGATGACGATAATGCGAATAACTTATTAGTTGATGATCCACAGACAAATCTTCGCTCTGATAGTGCGTCCAATGGTACTGATATGTGGGGTTGGAATGCTTATAAAAATAATTCTTCAAGTAATTTAAGCGGTAGTTACACTGAAAAAGGTAATTCGGCAAATATTACTT